CATTAGCACCTCTAGTAATATATTTACTGAGGAAAATGGTGACGTGTTCAATACTTGTTTTACCCATTGTATTTACTTTTTTCTACATACGTTTCATGTATGCTCATAATTTTCTATCAACAAATTGTTACTGTGACATGAACAGAAACAAATTTTCATGAACATTTCCAAATTTCCAACATCCTTTGGTATGAAACAATATATTTGAAAAAAGGTTTTTGGCACAAATGCAACCTTCTGACCTCCTGATGTCTGAGTTTCTTCAGACCTTAAAACAGTGCTTAATCTTCTAAAGTCACTGGGTGACCTTTGAACTCAAACTCACTTTTACAAAGAGCTAAAATTAAAAGTCTGATCAAGGGCCAAACTTTTGTCAACAAGCCAAAAACAAAGTTTGTTTTTCAGATGTTCCATGTCAAAATATGCATATAAAATTAACTTTRCTCGACTTATAATTCAGAACAAAGAAGCTTGCTGAGAATCTTTTTGGTTTATTTTAAGACTTGAAAACATTTTACCACAGGGCATCGAAAAAGCTTAAAAATCTCACATTTCCRCTTAAACTTTATAAAAGAAAACACAAAAAGATAAGCTGAATAAAATAATTCAGAAATTCTTCAGCTATGATACTCTGACAGCCTAAGGTTCTGAGTTGTGAAAAGTTTCAGGACTGACTGAAGTGGACATTTTTTGTAAGATGAGGTGTGTTATTAGCGATCATGTGCACAGAAAAGAAGTAGGGCTTGACCCTAGATGTCAACTGTATATCTGGCGGCACTGCTGCCAGGTGATATTTGACTTTKAACAAGCCCTGCAGCAGACAGTTCATGAAAAAAGTTACACTGGATTCAAAAAGCTTCAGTTTCAGAGAAAGCAAGCATGGCTGTCGTTTCCACAGCAGGAGAAATGCTACAGTTTCACTCATAAATGGCTGTTGAACACTTATGTTGYCACTTGTTTAAATAATATTGGGTGAATTATACTTCCTTATTTATTTTATTTATTTAACCTTTATTTATCCAGGTAAACTGTTTGAGAACCACCTCTCATTTACAAAAATGACCTAGCCAAGAGGCTGCATGAATGAATAAAAACATACAATATATACAACATTGAGCATACCACAAACAAACATTTTCATTAAAAGAAAGTGCTTAAATGTGTTCAAAATCGTCACCAGGAACAGGCGTCAGTGATTGTGTTTTGGATCTTCGGCTTAAATAGGGAGATTGGGATCAGAGATGTAAGTTTAAGGGTATTTTGGAGTGTGTTCCAGTCGTGTGCTGCTGCAAAGTGAAAAGCATTACGTCCAAAGGTGGTAGATGTTGGGAGGGTATTAAACCTGATTATGTTACTTGATCTTGTTTGATAATTGTTATGAACAGCATGAAGAAGGGAAGTCAAATAGCGAGGTGTCTTGCCTAAGATTGTCATGTACGCTCCTGATCAAAATCTTAAGACCAGTCAAAAAAGTGCAAGAATTTGCATTTTGCACTATTGGATCTTAAGAAGGTT